AGACTTATCCTAACCTTAACCATAACCAACACATGCCTAACCCTAACCAAGTCTTCACCCTAAAATGAATGATCCCCCTCATGGGGACCTCCAATTTGTCCCCATAAGGGAAGCCAGTCCCCACACGTGACTATGTAAACAGATTTAGGTCCCCACAAGTATAGTAATGCTATACCACACACACACACACACACACACACACACACACACACACACACACACACACACACACACACACACACACAACACACACACACACACACACACACACACACACACACACACACACACACACACACACACACACACACACACACACACACACCACACACACACTCACCGCAGATGCACTGTGTGTGTTATCTGTGTTGTTGAGTGTTTCCTGTCTGCAGAGCTCTGTCGCCTTTCACACAGAAAATGAGATGATAAGACCGATGTCGTCAACTTTTGAAGGTACTTAATTTACTCCGTCAGCTTCATGTTCATGAGTGAGATATCAGTCTCATGTTTGTTTCACCAACAAAGCTATGTTTTTGATGTGATCTCATGCAGCTCGTCAACATCTCTCTATATGCTTTGTTTAAAAAATGTATAAGCAAATACATGCTTATAACATTAGGAGTTGGAACAGTATTGGAGTGTTTTTTGACTTGAAAATTCGGGATGTCACTCCATCTGGAGGGAACACAGGGATTTTAGGCTTTACAGAGCATTTACATGCACTAAAACCTATATAACACACTAAAGGAAAGGGAAAAGGGAAGGCTGTGTCTCAGTGGGTTACTGCTCAGTGGGTAGTGCGCTGATCTTCGAATCAGAGGATAGCAAGTTTGAGTCCCACTGCAGTCAGCATGTCGTTGTGTCCCTGAGACACTTCACCCCAAAGTGCTCCTGTGGGGATTGCCCACAGTATTGAGTATGTAAGTCGCTTTGGATAAAAGCGTCTAACAAGTGACATGTAATGTAACGTAATGTGGAAACCCCCAACAAGAAGAATACGTTCATGTGGAAGATGTAAGAATTGATTGGCTCTTTAATATACAACATGAGGCGCAATCACACTGCGGTACTTTTCCCACAAAGGTTCATGTGAACTTAGTTCATGTGAACTCTTTAGATCGCGTTCACACTGGAAAAAGTCCCTGGGGGTGGATTCATGGATGTATAATAAGAACTGGATACAGCGTGGGAGGCGGGGCCTCATTCATTCCTATGAGAGCTGCTCATTGGCGCATGATGATAAAATGGCCCAACTTTTGAGAGAGTGAAACGTCACAGATTACCCAGCATGCCTGAGAAGTACCCGTATGTGCCCTCATAGAGCATGGGCAACTTTAACCAAAATGCTCGTTCACATCAAGCACGTCAATTTGCGTACACGTAACAGCACCGCGCGTTCATGACAGCATGGTAATGGATGTTGTTATCATGGATTCGATATGAACGAGGCGGCAGTTAGCAGCTAGCGGCTAGCTAGTAATGATGCTAATGTACACATCAATCGTTATGTACTTATATTACGCTGTAACAGGATCTAGTGATATCCAACAGAGCTTCATTTAGCATGAAATTATTATTGCACTGTATATATATATATTTATATACAGTGCAATAAGCTTCTTAGTGCAATACGAAGCTACAGGGACGTTAATAATATCGGTAATATTAACTTTATTTAATACAACATTTACGGTACAAGATTTAATCATACAGCCCATGTATGATAATGAATTACAGCAAACATGTGCAATATATCCATTATTACAGCTCCGTGGGATGGCAGTAAGACGATATGGATCCGTTCTTATCCATGGGTAAAGATAAACGCAACTCACATTGGTTCCTCAAACAGCATCTCTGTAAACTACGTGTATTCACTGAATTTCACTCTCTGCCTTTAACGGCTCGTTGTAGCTCCGATAGCTCCAGCCCCACCCTCCCTGAACGTGCCGGGCGGCGCGGTCCCGTGGGTTAGATGCACGTTCATAATACAGAGGGAAATAACTCTCAGAATAACGTTATTAGCTAATTTTTACAACTTGAGGAACGAATGTTTTTAATAAGGGCTATACAAGTGTTCATACTGGGTAGTTTATTTAGTTTAAAAAAAAGTATCCAACGAGTTACAGACCACTCTTTCCTCATGTAAGTCAATGGGTCTTTCCGGGCCTGGCAACCAAACGGAAGTGTAGTACCGCCGTTTGGCCAGCACGAATATTTTCATCTGAGTCCGGCGCACTTCCTGGGGGCTTGGGTGGATTAGGCAAATTAAGCCGCTGACGTCACTTGTTCTTCTTCTGCTTTGGGTTTACTGGCAGGCCGCAAACCACTTCACGGCGTATACTGCCGCCCAAAGTCCCCGGCCGGAAGTCCCCGGAGTTGGGGACTGGCTTCAGTAGAAGCTGCTGGGACTCCCAGCAGCTTCTACTGAAGCCTTCCGAGTAAATCGCCAGAACGCCGACACCTCCTCATCTCCAACACTCCCATGTTTTATTTTGTGTTGCCATAAATTAGTCTCTCTGCGTTTCTGCGCTGGGCTAATGCTAATGCTAATAATGCTAATGCGAGGATAATAAAATGGCGGCTTCACAAAACGTTTTGGTAGTTTTACGGGGCGTGGTTTGCAATCCGCCCAGCCAATCAGAAATATAACTCTTTTCTCACAAGAGAGCCGCTCGAAAGTCCCTGCTCTCTAGCAGGGACTTTCGAGGGGGTAAAAAGGTTCACATGAACTAATTTTAGTACCGGCTCTTTTTGGTGTGAACGCGATAAAAGAGTTCACATGAACTAAGTTCACATGAACCTTTGTGGGAAAAGTACCGCAGTGTGAATGCGCCTATGGAGGCGTTAAATATGGACAATGTTTTTACATTTGTATAAATCTAACGAAATGTCTTATGTCTTATGTCCTATCCATGGAACAGTTATTACTCTTAATCAATACAAGAAATAATCTTAAAAAATCCCAAAACAAGCAAAATGTCTTGTATTGAGTAACATTATTCATTTCTGGTTAGAATGGCCATTTTTTCTTTCTACCAATTGAAGTAAATTTTAAATGATAAAGAAAGCACAACATACAATCAAATGGGATGATTCATTTTATTGCAGATAACAAAAAGCATTGTGAGTAAATAAGCAGTGATATCATAAGTTCTGCCATGCGTCTGTGAATATAGTTTAAAGGTATATTTTGAAGATATATTTTGAAGTTCTTATCAATTGTCAGTTTGGAGGAAAAGTGCCAGCAGAACGCTCAGAAATATATTGCTGTATAGTTGTCAGCAAAAATATTTTAGTCAATTTAAAAAAGAGCTATATTTAGAATATTAAAAAAGCTTTACCTGGATGAGCCCTGAAGCCACCAGATTTATTTGAAAAAAACTGTAATTTTACCTTTCAAAACACAGGAGTTGCTTGTCTGTCTCTCAGTTAGTGTATTTGTTATATAGGTGAATTTGAATGAACTACTACTATAAGCAACTTGTTTTTCAACCAAATAGTTAAAATACTTTGATTACAAATCTTAAAATGAAGTCTTCACCTTCTACCTCATTTGAAAAACATTTAGATTCTATGAATTTAGTCGAAATATTTTCATTTAACAAAATGCGTCCTACATTACTGAAAACTGTTCTGTTGCTAAACTTCAGGTTGATACACTTCATACACTTAAATAGCGCTCATCACTAAAAGCTAATAACTAAACTACTTTAAGTTAACAACATATTGAAGATCGGTTCCTCTTCTCTTGGTTTACGCTCCTCTCCTCTTTTTCGCTGCCGGCCCGGCCTTCTTCTTCTGGGCTCCTGTAAGTCATCAGTACAAAAGGAATTTAATTATATTGTTAATGTGAGATTCATGATGCAGCAAGAGCCATAAAAACACAACTAAATGAACTCCAATGTCTAATATGTGTCACTGATGTTGATGAAACAAGAGACATCTTTACCCCCTGTTGTCCCTGGATTCCTTTTTCTCTGAGCTTTCTGCTTCAGCTCCACCTCCACAGGGTAGTGATCACTGACACTCTGAGTCTGGGACAGAAAATAACATTTAATAGCGTCAATATTTATTTTGAGTTTGTTCTTCCGGTTAGAGCAAAGGCGCGATTACTTGGGTTGCCAGCTTCATCAACAATTGAATAAATAAACCGCTTTTTAAGCTTTTGAATGAATGTTATTAAGTTAACCATTTAGATAACCATTATGTGATTAGTTTATCCAAACAACGTACATTTGTGAATTTTAGCTGCTGGCTATATGACAGCGGTCGGTCGGCTTAATAAAAGCATGTCAACAATGTTTTTTAAATGACTCTCACTACCAGAACTGTAGACACAAGTTCACACTGCAAGTCTAACCATAGGTCAGGGTTGCCAACTTTGGGTACCTGGCTGGAGTGAGATTTTGATATCATTACACATATGCGCACTAAATGACTGCTATCGTGTCAGCAGCGGGACCTTAGCATATATAAAGGATATATATACAATATATACAAATACACAATATTGGACACAGACTATAAAGGGCACACAGTTTCATTCACTAATGAAAGTCAAACACATGTTTTTTTCCACTGTTTTATTGTGTGCCTGTCGCGATAAGCAATTAATTGACTTATCTTAAGATAAATAAAAATGAACTCGATAACTTTTCTGACCTCGATAAATTGCCATTTACATGAGGATGTGACTAGCAGTTTGAAAGGATGTACTTGAATTATTATTTTTAGGGCTGTCAAGTTAGCGCGTTAATAACGCGTTAACGCAAAAAAAAATTAACGCCACTAATTATTTTAACGCGATTAACGCATGTGTATTTGTTGTCCTCGGCCGCCCCGTAGTTTCAGAGCGCATCGAGTTTAAAATACCATCTACAAGCTGATGCTGATCAGCCCCGTTCCTGCCGCCCGCTTGTGGCAGACCACACTTCCACGCTCACCGGCAGGCACCGACTGGCTATCGGGAGGACCGGGAGGGTGTGTGTATGTGTGGCACGAGCGAACGAGCGAGAGAGAGACCTTACGTGCATTGTTGTTGTTAGCATCTGGTGCTAGCTAGCTGCGCTAACGGATATGGAGCTGTTTAAATGAAAACAGAGGAGCGACATTTCGCCACAACTGCGCAGAGCACTTGACTTTATGCAGGAAGCCAGACAGTGGGACATTGGACGAAAAGTCAGCACACTCAGCACGGATAGTGCGCAACATGATTGCAGCGTCCAGGCAGCTCCCGTTCGAGCATATGCCTTGAGTTGCACATAGCTCCAACGATCCATCACACACACACACACACACACACACACACACACACACACACACACACACACACACACACACACACGAGTGTGGGGGCGGGGAGGGAGCGGGTCGACAGCTTGAGCAGCTGTCAACTCAACATTGTAAATAACCAAAAACGATCGCCGGTTCATCTTGTTTTTGGCTTGAGAATAGTTTGGGCAGCGTGAGAGCGTGAGATTGAGAGTGAAAGCGTGTGTCACACGCCAGATGCGTGAGAGTTGGCAACCCTGCCATAGGATATTAAATAATAGTCCTAAATTATGCGAATCACCAATTTGTCAATAGATAGCAAGATAGCTAATATTGGCTAGCTAAGTGAGATATATAGCAAATGTTTTCTAGTTTGTAAAGTAGATAGCTAACTTTCATTTGGCAGCTTGTTAGGTAGATAGCTAACGTTCCTAGCCTACCTAATCTTTTTCCACCCTTCTGGCAGTTTTTATAAAACTATCCACATGTGCTTTGGTATACTTTCCAACCAGCCGATGGGCTTCAGTAGTGTAGCTGTTAATAATCCCAAATAAAATGTATTGTTTACGATGCTGCTAATGCTAAACTGGAAACATTTACATACATGCATTTAAACCGGTAATGGGTTGCACTGTGTCACTTCAGCAGGTTTCAGTGTTACAGTATAGTACCAACGATACCCAATCCTAAACATGAGTCTCACTTCTTCTTCTGTCAAGTTCAAGTCTTCCTCGAAGTTGTAGGCGATGGCTGAGTTGGGGACGATGGCCTTCAGCATCCTCTTTCCGTAAACAACGATCCTGTTGTTTGGAAATGCAGCACAATTAATTTTTATTTTAACAAACACAAAAAATGCTTTGGTTGAACTGTAACAATGAAACGTGTATTACCTGTCGTAGGTGTGGTCATTATTGTTACTAGTCGTGGTGTCGACATCATCGTCTATCAGCCAATAATAAGGGGCCGAGGAGATGAGGATCGAGTCCTTCTTCCTCATGGAGAGATACTGTCCATCGGCATTAAAGTCTCCCAAAATCATAATGTTCTGCAGAATAAAGAACAACACAACCAAATTCAGAATGGAAAAACACATTATGTTTATTTATTTTTACTTTATTCATACTGTAGGTATTCAAAGCTTAAAAAAAAGTTTGCTTACATGAGAAACACAATCAAACAAAACTATTTAATTTCTCAAAAACCTACTTAATATTGTGATACGCCTGCAGCTGGTACAAAACGCTGCGGCTTGGCTGCTTACAGGAACACGCAAGCATGAACACATCACACCAATTCTGGCTTCCCTCCACTGGCTCCCCTCCACTGGCTTCCCTCCACTGGCTTCCCTCCACTGGCTCCCCTCCACTGGCTTCCCTCCACTGGCTTCCCTCCACTGGCTCCCCTCCACTGGCTTCCCTCCACTGGCTTCCCTCCACTGGCTCCCCTCCACTGGCTTCCCTCCACTGGCTTCCCTCCACTGGCTTCCCTCCACTGGCTTCTCTCCACTGGCTTCCCTCCACTGGCTCCCCTCCACTGGCTTCCCTCCACTGGCTCCCCTCCACTGGCTTCCCTCCACTGGCTTCTCTCCACTGGCTTCCCTCCACTGGCTTCCCTCCACTGGCTTCCCTCCACTGGCTCCCCTCCACTGGCTCCCCTCCACTGGCTCCCCTCCACTGGCTTCCCTCCACTGGCTTCCCTCCACTGGCTCCCCTCCACTGGCTCCCCTCCACTGGCTTCCCTCCACTGGCTTCCCTCCACTGGCTCCCCTCCACTGGCTCCCCTCCACTGGCTCCCCTCCACTGGCTCCCCTCCACTGGCTTCCCTCCACTGGCTCCCCTCCACTGGCTCCCCTCCACTGTCTTCCCTCCACTGGCTCCCCTCCACTGGCTTCCCTCCACTGGCTCCCTGTCCATTTTAGAGTTAATTTTAAGATTGTATTGTTTGTTTTTAAATCGCTTAATGGGCTGGCCCCTCAGTACATCTCATCTCAGACCTTCTACAGGTGTACACCCCCTCACCCTTCAAATGTTTAAGTCCCGCCTGAAGACCCACCTCTTTTCCCCTCGCTTTCGAGTTAGTTTGAGTTATGTTTCATCGATTGTTATGCTTTTATTTGTCTGTCCATAGCCCTTATGTGCCTTTTCATCTACTCTTATGTGTGCCTTTTATTTATTATTGTAATATTATATTTTATTATAATGTTATGTCTGCTGTGAAGCACTTCGGTAAAACCCTCTGTTTTAATATGTACTATATAAATAAAGTGGATTGGATTGGACAAACAAAAAATGGTTAATGTTAAATGTAAAGATTTTCACACATTGTTTTTCTCTCAAACCCATCAATAATATTTTAAACACTTACATCATTCTGCCATCTTTCCCTCACATCTTCAACTACGTCATGAAGAGCGTTCAGCTCCGCCTCTGCATCACTTGGTGTGGTGTGGACCGGGATCAACACCAGATTCTGCACAACTTGAGGCAAACACACACACACACACACACACACACACACACACACACACACACACACACACACACACACCAAATAATTCCCCGGCCGTTATCGCAACCTAAGTCTAACTTTAACAAAGTATTTATATTTAAATAGTCCATTTAGGTCTTTCCCAAAGTTAGGACCTCACAATATAGAAAGGTCCTCATAACTTCTAAAACTCCAAGTGGTCCTCACAATGATATCCGCGCAAGACATATGCACACACACATAAACACACCTGTGTGGACCTACATAAACAAAACAATTTTGCCTAACCTTTAACCCCTATTTTAACTAAAGAAGGGATTTAACATTCAAACAGTCCATTGCAGGTCTGTACCAAAATAGAGAACAGGCCAAAATGTCCTCAAAATCCATAAAGGACGCAAAACCCAAAATGATCCTCACAATGATAGTCTAAAAAACTAAAACACACCAGGGTGGGAATTTCACGACGGCCACGACGGCCATGGCCGTCGTTGCCCCGCACTTTGGCCGTGATGCCCTGTGAAAAAAAATGCAATTCACGGCCAAAGTGGCCTTGGTGCCCCTGTCAAAAGTTCCAGTGTAAACAACGCTAGTAAAGTCATATTAGTTCGCGCAGTAGGATAGTCCCGTGCCTGTGGATCCGAGCGATTGCTCTGCTGTGATTGTTCCGTCAGAAATGCCTGTAGGGGCCCGACAGCCTCCTCCTCAGCCGCGGGAGCAAGACAAGCACAGGTAAGCAAGCGGACCAAGCTGTTTTGATATGATTTAACTGAAGTATGTGGTAGTATTTGAAAGGACTTAACATTTACGTGTTTATAGAAAGTACTATTGATAGGTAATTACCATTGTATTAGCCTATTTAAAGTTGACTCGTTACATTTTGTCATGAAAACTAGCGATAGCTAGCTAGTTTGGATAGCGCTAACGTCTTCCCTTCAAGGGGTCTACATCTAGTGTTGCTTCTACAAGCTAGCAGATAGCTGTCACCTTTGAATCTAGTATTTTTCTTGCTAAGCGGTTTTGATATAATACATGACTGACTTATGTGGTTTATGGCTGAACTTAACGTATACGTTAAAGAAACACTATTGCTATTCAGCCATTTGTAAAACGACTGGTGTTGACGTTAGTGCTACACTTTTCAGTCATGTTGATTGACCAGCGTAATTTAACCAAACGGCCTTTGTGCCCTGTCATGTGGCCTTTGTGCCCTTGAAAAAAATGTGAACGGGAAGGCCAAATGGCCTTGCCCCTAAAATGACGAAATTCCAAGCCTGAAACACACACACACAAATACCTGTGTTTGGACATTTGAGAAGGACAGCGAAAGGCTCTCTGGCTAGCTCGTCAACATCGTCAACATCTTCTTCATCTTCATCATCATCTTCATCATCTTCATCATCTACATCATCTTCATTATTTTCTCCGTACTGGTAGGAGTCTAATATCTGCACTTCTTTCTTTCTGGAACACAAAGCCACAAACATGTACTGTATTATAAAGCTTATAAACACACATGTTATGTTTTGTTTGTTTATTAATGTATTTTTATTAGTTAGTGAGATAGCTCATAAACCACTTGAAGTTTTTCAGTAGAGCCTTGTAGGAAATGTATGTAGAGTTTGGCCCAACGGCACAATGTGATGATTTGTAAAGCCTATGATGTTCTGGGTCTTAGCTAACGGACCATAGACAACAAATAAATTGTAGGACTAAAAATATTGAAGCGTCTCAAAGAAGAGTATGTAATGTGTCACAGATTACTGGTTCAAAAATCAACATTACTGATTTTTTGTCTTTGATATTCTACACAGTTTTTCAATAATAAGTATCCAATTGAATGTGGATGTTACCAATTCGAGACATATTTTAATTCCTGTGAGACATAACGTATAGCTCAATTGATAGATTGATGTGTACTGAGGCTTGGTCTGAATCCAGTTCGAAGACCATTTGCCGTCTGTCATCACTCCCCATGTTAGGTCTGTCTCTACAATAAAGGCACTGGTTGCCCAAAAAGGTATTTTAACCACACACAGGATTGTCTATACTTGTGTTTCTGACCTGTAGAAGTAGACAAACTTCTCCTGTCTACCCTCCGGTCCCAGAGGTTCACTGCACAGCATGCCGTACGGATTCCTTTTGTTATCTCTGCCAGAAAACAGAAACAACTGGAACTGAATATCTCTCACAATCATCAATAAATCGTTTGTATCATTTTAGATGCCCCATAAGATTTGATTATTTTTTTACATTAAAATATTATTGTCAGAGCAGACTGGGCTCTGGTTTCAGACAGAGGGTGAAAAGAGGTGCTGCGGCACAGGCAGTATGAAAAAAATAAAGAGCTTTTTGACCATTAAAGCACGGAGACATGTCACAATAGAGACACAAAATAAAAAATGTAACCTGAAAATGTGCAGAATAGGGCCCCTTTAAATTAATGTGCATGCTACTTTGTGTGGAGAACTCACCCATAGTCATTAAGGTGTTTGAGGAGCAGTTTCATGGCCTTACCACTCTCATCCATCACCTCCAGCAGCACCACCACGCTGTACTCAGACACAATCTGCAAAACACAACCACAGAGAAAAGAAAGCATAGAACTAAAATCACTTTTTTTTAAAAAATTGTATTTATTATTTAACCCTAACCCTGCACTCTTTAGGGCTAACCTTTTTTTTTCTTTTTCTAAGCGGGGTGCAAATTACAATAAAGCCTTTGAATTGAAATTCAAACATGCTTTAAAGACCAAAACAAAAACAACACAATATTAAAAAAAAATTGGGTAGAAGAGTTGGCTTATAAAAAGAAACATGTGACTAATAATAGCAACAATAATAATGGCTTTGTTATATTAAAGTGTTCCATATATGTGACAATGAGCCAGCATGGTCTACTATAAGCCTTACATTGAAGGAGGTAAGCCACCATAACAAATGTTATCTAAATCTTTAGTGTCTACTTTAAAATGTCTTATATAAAAAATACAAATAAAAAACATTCATATTTGAGATGCAGAACCAAATACGGCATGGGAAAATGTATTTCTAACTGCAATAGCAGAAGTTTTTAATATATATGTTAAACAGTTACAGCAGGGGCCTGTACTACGAAGCAGGATTTTTGCTTTGCGGCTAACTTCAGGGAAAACTCCGGCTTTCCGGTCCTACGACGCTGGTTCTCTTTTTAGCGGGCTAGATCTCCATGGTAACTTATGCTTAGCGGCTAACCTGCCCCGGAGCAGGTTAGGTTGCAGGCTAAGAGATCAACTCAGTGAAAGCACCGCCTGCTGACCAATCAGAGCTCAGTGTGCGGAGTTTAAAGCGATCAAGTCATATTACAGGAGAAAGGAAAGACGGCCGGCAAAAATCAACTGACTGTGTGAACGTGAAAATTAATAGAATATCCCCTGACTCTTATAACATTAGCGTTAAGAAAGCTTACTTAAATATCTACCACAACATAAGTAACCGGATCAAAGTAACATTAAGTACAGTCCGCGGCATATCACATCATAATGTATCATATATTTCCTGATCTGAGTCAGCTGAGCCGTATCTGGCCGTGCAACACTCACAGTGTCACATACTGTATGCAGAAGTATTATTTTAAGCAACACATTAAGTTGACGAAACACTCGAGTCAAATGTAATTAAAGTCAGATGGTGTTTTAGACGGGCAGTGATATCATAAACCTGTTAATGTACGCATTCAAACACTTTTTCTGTTACCAGCTGTATTCACCTTGCAGGTGCAGCTATGTGGCTTTGATCCTGGATAAAGTGTTTAAGTCATGGATGTTTAAAGTTTAACTTCTTCATATTTGTCTAATTATATAGTTGACTTTTCATTCAGGAAGTATGACGCTGCGCTGTCAGTACGCTTCTCCATGTTTGTAATCAACACGTTCTCACTCCCAACTCGTCACATGTTGACGGTCGGTCAGGGCCCCTCCCCGTCACTCTATTACAGACAGGGTACCTCTTGAGAGTCAGTTTTCAATGGGCAGGGCGTCCCATTGACTTGTATAGAGCTCCTTGAACGTTGGTAATAGACGAGTTGGGATCACGGCGAAATGCTCTCCGCAGATTCATTCTCACAGCGTTTATCAACCTTTTTCTTACTCAATATCAAGCCACACTTATTGTTTTTACTTCTTTATTTTAATTGAATAATGTAGGACTTTTGTTGCCGTCAGTTATGGGGAGAGTAGGGGCTCAGAAAACTGAAATCTGTATTGTTTCATCGTTTTTTCCTTCTAATTTTGTATTCTTTTCTAAACCACACACTGTTATTTACTCAACAATAACACATAATTATCCTTGTGTTTATTTATTTGTTTGATTAATAAACACAAGTTGGAGTCCGTCAGGACCGAGGGTCAGAGCAGCTCATAGTTGCGTATTTACACCCGGAAGTAAGTATTTTCTCCGCTTCGCTTGACAAACCCTGTGATAGTCCTCAAGCTCTGTGATTGGATGTTTGAGTGTGCGCCGAGGGTTACGCCGAGCGTCGAACAGCACTTTGAAATGGGATGGAACCACGGCAGACTGTCCAAAACTGGATTTGAACGGGTCCACCCCGTCCCCCCCTCCCCCACCCCGTCCCCAGAACTACACATGCTGGCTACTGTGACCCCTCCTGTTGTTAATTGATAAGCCTGCAACATGCACTTGTCAAGGTTCAGAGGCACATTTTGCAAATATGCCATCGATCATCTTAAGATAAGATATACTTTATTGATCCCAAGTTGGAAACATTTGCGTTACATCAGCATGTGTAACAGTTGTAAATATGCAGTGGTGTTTATTTGTAAATCATTTAGTATAATCACACAAATTCTGTGTTTTATTTAATAATTCTGTGTTATTTATTTATTGATTGTTCAATACCTGACAAGGTTGGAGATCAAAAACTTGGGTCACAGGTTCCTCAACAGTGCATTACAAGACATCTATCAATATGTGTGTATACCTCCACCATTAAACTGTCATATTCTGCACATTTCTTATACTATCTACATACATCTTATAAGAGTATAATACGTATAATATCAGTTAAAATAAGTGCTTCAACATACAGTAGTTAACATTGCAGGAAAGCAATATATTAGTACTTTGTCAGGCTTAATATTTATACCCCCAAAGCTTTTTTCTTATTCAAAATAAGACCTTAACCTAAAGTATTCTTTAATGTTTAAATAAAGCCTTATTAGTTTGTCTGTCTGTTTCTCCTATTGATATCTAATAATAAAAATAACACATTTCAATAACGTGCTTTAACCACCAGGTGTCCCTTTATATCAGCTGTGCACCATTACATACAGCCTATCTACCAATTGGATCAAATTTAAAAGTCAGCCGAATTAGTGTTGATACTGCAAGGAGACGTATTGTGTGAAGAGAAATTGAAGATTTTGTTTAATTGCTGATATATTTATGATCCACGTCACGTTTTCAGTGTTGGCGGCAGTTCATCATGTTTGTCTAGAAGTCTTCTCATCAGGGCTGTAATATTTAATGCAGCTGAACCGTGTATTACAATGCCGTTATGTGATGACCTCCAAAGAGAAAAGCAAGAACACTCGGAATAAAGTATTATTATTTTTTTTTAAAATGTTTTCGGATTTCACATCAACAGGAAGTCCGGTTAACTATAATGTCCGTGCGGAACAATAGCCAAGCCATAGATCCGCGGGTGAATAATGTCAATCACCATATTACACACATCCCTTCACATTTACATTTAAATGTACATTAAAGTATTTCGTGAGGCCTTCTAAAATGTTTTTAAATATAATTAGGGTTGTAGTTGAAGAGTTTGTAAATTATTGCGTTGCGCAATTGCACAACGGCACTCCATTAATTCCACATCTACACACATGGATTAACATCGATTTAATACATTAATGTAGCCTTTGTTTCTGCTAAAAGAGGTGTCGACCAGCTGGGGCAACAAGAAAATCGGCGTAATCGAGTGTGACTATTACAAAATAAATAATTATTATGTAAATATTGACAATAACAACCGACCGTCAGGGTAGCATTTGCCGGGGAGCGTTCTCATGGCGTCTATTATCAACGCTATGGGAGGTCTATGAAGGTCTATGGGACGCCTTGCCCGTTGAAAACTGACTCACAAGGTACCCTGTGCGTAATAGAGTGACGGGGAGGGGCCCTGACCGACCGGGTTGGGAGTGAGAACGTGTTGTTGTGATTGGTCGAATGCTCCAAATACCACCCCTTTCATGTGTTCGCGCACCTAACTAGATAGGACACGGCTGGCTTGAGCGATCCACTTGATAACCAGCGTCGTAGGACCGCTTAGCGAGAGCGTGTATGTTTTGGATCAGGCCAACCGGCTAACTCAAACATATCCAGGTTATGTTGAACCAGCTTCGTAGTACAGGCCTCTGGTGTCTACCAAATCTGACCAGTGATAAATACTTGTTGTTGTTGTTGTTTTTCGGATGATCTTATGAACAAACTTATATCTAAGCTTTATAAAAACAGCTCCTTTCATTTAAATGTCTTACCATGTACAAAAACATTAACTGAAATATTACGCTGAACAAACTTGTGTGGTTCAGCACGGTGAGTTACCTCAATGATAATTTCCCGTACGGCCTTCTTGTTGACTTTAGTCCATCCCAGTCTCTTCACATTGAAGGCAGCGATCTTCATTTTGACTAAAAAACATAGATAGATTACAAGGCCAGTGGTGGACAGTAACAAAGAACATTTACTAAAGTGCTGTACTCAATTACAAGGTACTTAACGAGAGTATACTGTATGTCCATTTAAAGAAACTCTATTATTTGACTCCTCATCCAATATCTGACACATTTACTTACTTTTTCTCTATTTGATTTCCGTATATGGAAGGAAATAATCTCTGTCGCTAACAAATGTTCATGATACTTACATGTTTAGTTCAGCAGGATAATCTGCACATATTAACACCACTTTAAGATTTTTGAAGAGTAAATGCAATTGCCAGAAGTAAAAAGCTAACACTTTAAAGGAACTACAACACAGTCTCATGGCTGTGTGTCACCACCACTCAGCTAAAGGCGTGATGACGTTCAGTCATTTATTTAGTCATTTATTTAGTCGCTTATTAGCATACGTGTTTTCATGACACATTTCAGATATTCATCAGTGGGGTAATTACTGAAATTATTTGTTAGAATCTCTTTAGCTTGTGTTAACCACAGACCTTACTTCAGGTTAACAACCAAAAACACATTCAGAAAACCATTGACTTCCTGACGAACGGCAAAAAGAAGTATGAAAAATATTTCCCGGGTTTTAGGAAACAGGGTTTTAAGCCTTTTGCAGACCATTTACATGCACACAAACATATAGAATAGACAGGAAAGGTAAAACCCCCAAAAGAAGAATAGAGCCTCTTAAAACAAGGCTCTGAATTCAGGACTTGCTGTGGAGTGTTAACGTCCTAATATCACATTTGAATATTGAGAATGAGTCAACGCTCTCCCGGGAGCGGCAACCATTTTTTATCAAGAAATGAGCGGGAACATTTGAAATAGAAGAGGAAGTAGTAAATGGATCAGGATCGGGTTGTCTTTATGTAAGTGTACTTTGACTAATTATTTAAAAACGAAATGTTATTCAGGATATACAACTTTTAGTACCAAATTGACTTCCTAAATAGTTTTCAGATTCGCAACCTCAGCAACTTATTTTATCTTCTCCTTTTCCAATAATACATTAGCATTTGCAGTTCATACAATAGATATAAATTAAACAAGTCCCCCCGCTTTCTTACCCACAATCCTTCCAAACCCATCACACTTAATTCACCATAGAAGAAGAAACACATTTGTACTTGAAAGGCAGATAACTAATAAAGGGTGAGAGGGTATCAAAACGTTTGGCACATGAACACACACACAAATAAAGAATAACATTTAAAATACAAAATTTAAATTCAGTGAAATCAAAAAAATATATAGAGAATAGATACAAATAAATAAAACACTAAGATAAACATGTACATATAAGACTATGTTTTAATTATTGCCGCCTATTGCAGCCGGTTTCCCTCCAAATTGTAATGTATCACACAATGGAAAATGACACAGAGAATAAAGTCAGTTTATTATAATAATAATAATAATACACTTTATTTGTGGCAGGGTTAGGGTTAGGGGTTAGCCCAAAGTGCTTTACAGAAAACATAACAAGAATATTAAAATAAACACAGAACAAGATAAAACATCTAAAGTGATCCTAATGAAATTCCCGTGAATTAAAGCTGAGAAATTAAAATAGGTTAAAATAAAACAATCTTAAAAAGACAATTTAAAATGTAAAATAAAAGCAAAACAGAAAAAAATACAGTAAAACATGGACAATGATGAGAATTGAAAGTTAACCCACATTAAAAACCATATTCAAAAGATGGGTTTTAGTTCAACTCCATAGCTGAGAAATTGACACTTAATTGTTTACAATAAGAAGAATAAAACTCACCCAGCTGTTTGAGTAAAATCTAAATAATGACCCAGCAGCAGAGGATGTTCTGTTTCAGGGGACAGGCGTGAAGTGAGAGGTTCTGCAGAAACACCAGGAATAAACCCAAAAGGGAAGTCTCTGTCAGCCAACAAAAGGGCGCCAATCCACCTTCAAATTCATGCTGACCAAGTGTAACCCTCAGGAAGTGCTCCGGACTCTGATGAAAATATTCGTAGTGGCCAAACTGTTGACTAACATCGAAAGAGACGTCTGTAAGTCAGCGGATAGTTTTTTTTTTAACTAAATAAACTACCTAGTATTAACTATTTCATAGCCCTTATTAGAATCATTAGGTCCTTAAAGTTATATACTTCTGGGTCTCTGTGTTTCATTCAAGCTCGGCTCTGTGTGTTTGTGTGTGTGTGTGTGTGTGTGTGTGTGTGTGTGTGTGTGTGTGTGTGTTTCCATGATCTTACGGGAAGTTAAACTAAACTTATTTTGAGATTTCACAATAATAATGGATGATTCACCCTATGGTTCATATTAAAAATGCAGGGATAAAGTTGCGGTAGTTTACACACACACACACACACACACACACACAAACAAAGGCAGCTCATTCTGGAATAGCCTCCCAACTGAGATACGGGATTGTCCCACTCTCAATAGTTTTAAAGGTCACTTCAAAGAATGGGTGAGAAGCAAACAGATGTGCAATCACCGCTAAATGCGCTTTACCACAGGGGTATCTCCTCATGCACTTTATTTAGCACTTGTATCCAACCCAGTATCACGGCAAGACGTGAACATGTGACGATTTACCATGCTGGGAGACGTGAAGATGTCACGATTTCGTCCCTTCAAACGTGACAGTTACACGGTATTGTTAACCCATGTTAACCAGTATTAGAAATATCTAATAATACAAATAATAAAATGCAATAACGTGCTTTAACCACCAGGGGTCCCTTTCTATCAGCTGTGCACCGTTATGGTGTAAATACAGCCTATCTACCAATTGGATCAAATGTAAAAGTCAGCCGAATTAGTGTTGATACTGCAAGGAGACGCATTGTGTGAAAGGAAATGTAAGATGTTGTTTAATTGCTTATATATTTATGATCCACGTCACGTTTTCAGTTTTGGCGGCAGTTCTCCTGTTTGTCCAGAAGTCTTCTCATCAGGGCTCTATGAATAAAGAACTACAGCAGATATTTCATATTTAATGCAGCCGAACCGTGTATTGCAATGCCGTTATGTGATGACTTTCAAGGAGAAAAGCAAGCACACACGGAATAAAGTATTATTTTATTTTTAAAAAATGTTTTCAGATTTCACATCACATAAACACCAAATCCCAGCATGCATTGCGGCTAAACCATCCAATCAGCGAGCTGAGGATCTTGCCTACGTCTGTTTCCGGTTTCGTTTATGACCGATGTATTTTGTTATAAACACATTCCTTCACATTTACATTTAAATGTACATTAAAGTATTTCGTGAGGCCTTCTAAAATGTTTTTAAATATAACTACGATTGTAGTTGAAGAGTTTGTAAATGAACATGAACCGAAGCTGTTGCCTTGCAACGCAATCACACAACGTCACGTCCGTTAATTCCACATCCACACGCATGGATTAACATCGATTTAATACTTTAATGTAGTCTTTGTTTCTGCTCAAAGAGGAGTCGACCAGCTGGGCAACAAGAACATCGGCAAAATCGAGTGTGACTATTAAAATATAAATCATTATTATATTAATATTGACAATAACAACCGACCGTGGGGGAGCATTTGCTTGGCATTTCCGGGTATTTCTCCATGGAATCAATCGTCACATGTTCACGTCTTGCCGTGATACCGGGTTGCTTTTATCTGCTCCGGCACATTACACTTGTTGAATTGTTTTAAGTGTTCATTAATGTGCATTGCCCCTGTTCAAATAAACGATTAAATCAAACACACACACGCGCACACGCACGCACTCGCACACGCACGCACGCACACACACACACACACACATATTAGACACATTTCCAACTGCAGGAAGACAGGAAGTTCCTCTCTGGATGTATGAAACAATGGAAGTGACCTTGTTCTGCTTGAACATCAGATTAATAAAAACAACCCGAATCTGAATCATTCTCTTTAGTAAGATGTACTGTTTTCTTACTGCTTGTATAATACTTTTATTATTATCATGGACAGATTTCTGCTAGATAATGTCAATGTCTATATGTTATATGTTAGAAAGGTAAAATAATTAAAACTGAATTGATCCCATGAGAATCATTTAGATTAAAAGCAGCAGAAAGTAAAGTAATAATGATAATGTGGAGCTATAGTATTCATTAAGGGTGCAATCAGTGCTGGCTTCAATATAGCTATAACTATTAAAAGTTACCTTTCTATAATACAGAAACACAAGGCATTTAATGCGTATTATTATATATATGATATAGTTGGATTATTATTTTCTGAATGTGAAAGCAGCTTTTTACTGTAGATTGTTGATGCAGTGCTAGTTTCAAATATATTGTATACTGCTGGAGGATTTAACATCTAAGAAATCATGATGTTTTTGTAGTATTTACCAAATATATGAAATGTTCTTTTATATTTAACTTGTAATGAGTTCATAAAAACCAAATACGTGATTGAACTGCTTATAGTTTCTGATATACAGCCATTTAAAAATCATACTACATTTACACATATTGCACAACATAGTGTAAAGGTAGTCTTTAGGGACAAACAGTTTTTTCCAACAAAAATATAAATGTATGCATGTATATAAATACAATGGTACAAAAAAAATCACTTTCTAGCCAATCAGTTAGACCTATTTCATTTGGTTTAGATTTTAAACACTCAATACACCTGGGCATCTCTCAATGAAATCAACAGTAAAAGCTGGACTGTGGGGTGGTGGTTGTGCACTGTTGCATCATGGGAGTTGTAGTCTTCTCCAGGATTCCTTCAGTGTTCCTGGTGCAGGAGGCTTTAGCATCGCTTCTGATATTTGTGTTAGCTGAGCTTGTTTTATCCCCTAAGTTAACACCCTGACAAGTAGGAAGATTTCACTAACACTGAATTATTATTAGAAATAATACAAAACAAAAAGAACTGCTGATAAAAACCTCTTTATAAAAATGTAAAAAGTGAGTTTCTCCATGGAAACTGGGCCGAGGGGCTACGAGCTAAAGGCTAACGTTAGCTTAGCTTGTTTCTCTGTTAACTTCAGATCCAGACGTCCCAGAACTAAAATCATTCATCCAGTTAAAATATAGAGTTACACGTTTTTTAAAAGTGAATACACATGCTCAAAGGGGATACGGCGCCATCACAGGAGACCAGAGGAAACTTGAAACTACACAACTCGACTGAATATATAACATACGTCTAGTAGTTTTAAGATAAATACATACCAGAGCTAAAGAAGAAGAAGAAGAAGAAGAATTGGAGGGATGAAACCCTCTTTAATGGACATACATGCAGAGCACACAGCACACACAGTGAAATGTGGCCTCTGCATTTAACCCATCCTAGTAGTAGGAGCAGTGGGCAGCTATTGTACAGCTTAATATATTTGTATATATATAAGTTGATGTCAGAAAAAAGTATACAAGTAAAAGGTACATTATTTCCCTGTGAGATGGAGTAAAAGTATTGATAATATAAATACTCAAGAAAGGTACAAGTTAGGTCCAGGTGTGTCGAACATTCCTTATTTAAAGTACTCCGTTTGTGTACTTTGTTACTTTTCAGCACATTTTAAATGTACGTAAGCAGAATTAAAGATGATTGCAGTTTGTTTATAATCAGAGATAAACCAATCATGCAACAGGTTCCTGAAAAAACTACTGAACGTTTGTCTCTGGCGCCACCTAGTGGTACTTTCTGGACTAACTTCAAACACTACATTTTACATTTATATTTAATGTCATTGTAAATACTAAATATAAAAAATATCCCACATTTTGTATTACTGTAATTTAGCCCGTCAATAGTGTTTTATTTGTCAGATAGTTTACTAGTTTTCACACGTAAACCTTTACATTTTCACTCATTTAGTTCTGTTTTATCTGCTATTTTAAGATGTTTATATTGTATAATTGTTTATTTTCCACACTTTTTTAACTCTAATTATGTGCAATACTGGTTTAAGATGATGCTGCAACGAAAACATTTCCCCATTTGGGATTATGAAGTATATCTTAACTTATTTTATCTGTAATAACTGACCTGGGAGCAGCTGGCGATGGTGCTGGTGGGCAGCCCGATGGACGGGGCCCAGTCGACGTCTCTCACCCAATCACTGGGAGCCTCCAGCTTCCGGTCCTCCTTCCACTGACCGTCCTCCTCTCTGCAGAGATCAGAGTACACATCCTTTACTCAAGTAGAAGTACAGATACTCGTGTTTAAAAATACTCTGGTGAAAGTAGAAGTACTGACTAAACTTCTTTACTCAAGCAAAAGTAAAGAGGCTTTGAAATGTACTTCAGTAAAAAGTACCCATAACTAGCAGCTGTTTTAAAGAGTACCTGACCTCCCTTTATATTAATAGAACAATAATGTCATTGTTAGCTAATGAATGTTTCCATGCTGAACAACGGCAACATGACAACGTTTGAAGTTGGTCCTGGTTGAATTTTCACAATGGGAACAACGGCCTTGTGTTAACATCAGGACATGTAGTAATAATTTGGTACTTCCACTCCATGTACTATTCATCGGATCATTCTGACAGAGATTCTGTATACAACCGTAAAGACTTTGGTTAGCTCGTGCAGCTCATCAACTTCTGTATGTTTTCTTTCACAAAATAGCGCACCTGTCCATGCCGTGTCTTTACAAGTGATACAAAAGAATATGATGGGAACCGAAACACACATTGTGATTTCAGCAGAATCTTTATATATATGGATCAATATGGATACAACATTTTTAAACTTGTATTAATTTAACCACATTTCTTGTTAACAGCTGTTAAAAAACTCTAAAAACTCCACTGCATTAACCTAATACAATTATTCATGGCGTTTCTAATGACACAGAAAGCACAAAATATAATTTCATGATTATTTTTTATTGCAGATAACAAAAAGCATTGTTAGTAAAAAAGCAGTGATATACTGTAATATGCCATGCGTCTGTGAACATAGTTTAAATGGATAGTTTGGTTATATTGAAGTGATATGAGGAACTTATCCTCGTCAGTTTGGCTCAGAAACATATTGCTGTAGACGTGACAGTCTGCTAAATGTATTTTAGCCAATTAAACAAATATATTCTATATTTAGAATCATTTAGGTGCTTTACCGTGAGGATAGTTGTCGGATACTTTATTTGTTTGTTTTTGCTGAATCCGAACTAACCGAAGTCACACAGCAACAGACAAACAAACTAACCACACAACTTGTTTTTCAACCAAATAGTTAAAATACTTTGATTAAAAATCCTAAAATTAAGTCTTCAACTTCTACCTCATTTGACAAACATTTAGATTCTAGGAATTTAGGTTAAAAAAATAATTATTTAACAAAATGCGTCCTCCATTTCTGAAAACTGTTCTGTTGCTGAACTTGAAGCTGCATCAAAAACATCAAGAAGCAATACAAGCTCTATTCTGTTCATACACTTAACCCTTGTGTTGTGTTCGAAAGCTGTTCCCGTTCATGGTGTTCGCGGGTCAATCATCCAATATTGTTTTAACTACATCATAACTAACTTATGCATTCATAACCGAACAATCCTGTTGTAATGTATTTGATGGCCCCAAAACACATTACTAACCCTAACTTGAAATGAGTCACAGGGAGACCCGAACACAACATAAGGGTTGAATAGCGCTCATCACTAAAAGCTAATAACTAAACTACTTTAAGATAATAACATATTGAAGATCGGTTCCTCTTCTCTTGGTTTACACTCCTTTCCCCTTTTTCGCTGCCGGCCCGGCCTTCTTCTTCTGGGCTGCTGTAAGTCATCAGTTCAAAAGAAATGTAATTATATTGTTAATGTGAGATTCATGATGCAGCAAGAGCCATAAAAACATAACTAAATACACTCCTATGTCTAATATGTGTCACTGATGTTGATGAAGCAAGAGACATCTTTACCCTGAGGTCTTCCTCTAGTCGAGGTTTTCTCTGGATTCCTTTTTCTCTGAGCTTTCTGCTCCACCATCAGCTCCACCTCCGGCTCCACCTCCTGCTTCACCATCAGCTCCAGCTTCCTCATCTGCTCCACCATCAGCTCCACCTCCGGCTCCACCTCCTGCTTCACCATCAGGTCCAGCTTCCTCATCTGCTCCACCATCAGCTTCACCATCAGCTCCACCTCCGGCTCCACCTCCTGCTTCACCATCAGCTCCAGCTTCCTCATCTGCTCCACCATCAGCTTCACCATCAGCTCCAGCTTCCTCATCTGCTCCACCATCAGCTTCACCTCCAGCTCCACCTCCGTTTTCACCTCAGGCTTCTCCTCCAGCTCCACCTCCACAGGGTAGTGATCACTGACACTCAGAGCCTGGGACAGAAAATATCATTTAATAGTGTCAATAATTCACCTCATGCTTTGCCTGCTCTGGGGTGTTTCCACATTGCTTTATTTTGTGTTTGTTCTTCCGGTTAGAGCACGTGCGCTATTACTTGGAAAAGGGTTGCCAGCTTCATCAACATTTGTTTAATAAAGAAACAGTGTTTAAAGCTTTTGAATGACTGTCATTAAGTTGTAACAGTTTTCCGGGTAAGAAACTAACCATTTAGATAACCATTATGTGATTTGATTATCCAAACAACGCATATTTGGGAATTTAAAAGATGTTTCCAGCTGTGAGCAGCTGCTGGTTATATGACAGAGGTCGGTCAGCTTAATAAAAGTCAAGAGTGTTTTTAAAATTACTCTCACTGCCAGAACTGTAGACACAAGTTCGCACTGCAAGTCTAACCGTAGGATATTAAATAACAGTCCTAAATTATGCGAGCCACCAATTTGTGAATAGTCAGCAGTGGCGGCGCCAGGGTATGGCTGGTGTAGGCTACAGCCATACCAAGAAATGGCTTAGCCCTACCTTAGCCCGACCATGAACAATTATGTTAAAGTAAGCATGTTGAAAACACGGATTGCGAAAATCTACCGGTCGTGTCCACAACACACAAACTGATCCTGAAGTGCACGTTACTGACGCAATATGGTTGAGACCATTCGGGCTTATGCTAGAGGGATGTAAGGAATGGAGAGGCGAAGTCCCTCCCCTTCCGAAAGCCTCCATGGGACCCCGGAAGCGGAAAATTATACATTGAAGTCAATGGAGAGAGAAAGGTTATCTTTTGATCCCGTTTGAATTGTGCCACGAATGACACATATGATGTTTGTCAATTTAAAAGAACATTTTGCAAGTCAAAAAAATAAAAATGTGTCGTAAAACTGTGAAGTTACAATTTTTTTTGTGTGAAACCGCTCAGTGAACTACAGGTCTCTCGTCTCGCACAATACGCGTCACCAACATAAAGATGGCCGTCACGTTAGCACATTTCACCACATTCTTTCAGAATGAGAATACAATTATTTTACGAGGTGAACATCACTACAAGTCTGGGCACGTTGAGAGCTGTACCTATATGAAAGGGGAGTTAGTCGGTTCTGTAAGAGCCAGCATGCGGGACCGGCTTTACAAGGTTTCGGTGAGTAATATGAGTGCAATGTTTAACGTTAATGTCAGCTAGCTAACATTAGCTAACAAGGTACACTAACGTGTTTTGTTTTAGCAACTAGTTTTCTCCTTAAGAACTTCGTGGTCTCTGTATGCTGTGGATAACATTAGTGTTCACAAGAACAAGGTACACTCCCGTGTTTTGTTTTAGTTGCTCTTCAGATTGAAGCGGACAGTTTTATATCGACTATACTGTATGTGTGATCTCCTTTTTCTCGTTGTGTCATTTGAGTTTATTTGCTGTGTGTAGATTCAAGGATTTTGGTTATCTAGGCACAGCTGTGTGTGACTCCCTCTGGTACACTGGTATGTGTTTTCCTAATGTAGAGAGCATTGATTAATTAATAAACTACACACTGAGTCTAGATCCTGACCAAATCCTTTTTTATTGTTGATCAAATGTTTTTCAAAAATGTATTCATACACATTTAGAAAAATACAATGTACAATCACAACCAATACAACACAAATTACAAAAAATACAGAAAAAACAAACAATAACAACAGACAAGAGGACAAAACTATGGAAAAATAAACCCTCCCACCCCCAGATCCGGACCATCCTTGTATTATTGCTCATTCAATCTATTATAGCATGCTAACAAATGGTACTTGCTTTATTTTTACAGATCTGCATGGGAGACGATGGCGCGATGCAGAGCGCTGTCTGTGATTGTGCACAGGGGATGTACAAATGCAGCCACGCTGCAGCATTGGCAATATTTGCCATGTGGCAGATCAGCTCCACAGATGTTGAGTGCCAGTGGAGGAAGCCTGGCACTTCCAAAGTAGTCAAGCCGGTGTCTCAACTTTACCAACAGCGAGAGGAGACATACAACCCACTGGCCAGAGACATCGCCAACTGTCAACTGGGGGGTTGTAAACGAAGCCGAAGGGGTGAAGGATTTTGTGGAGGCTTTTGTGGAGGCCTATCAAGTGACAGTGTTCGAATCGAGTCTGGTCTCTTTGTGAGTGAGTCGGGTGTTTTGGGAGCATCACCCGATGGACTTGTGCAGCCATCTGCCCTGCTGGAGGTGAAGTGTCCACACAGCCAGAGGAACATGACCATCGCAGAGGCAGTCCAGTTACCATCCTTCTGTCTTCGTGAGGAGGGTGGGTCATATATTCTCAAGGAGAATCACCCATACTGGCACCAGTCCAAGGGCAGCTGCACATCACAGACCGGAGTCTCTGCTACTTTGTTGTGTGCACCACGAAGGAGGCGATCATCATCCCCATCCCCAAAGACCCTGCATGGCATGGAAATCTCCTCCTCCTGGAACAATTCTACACCCAGCATATGCTCCCTGTGTTGGCCAGTAGAGAGGAGGACATTTCAATAAACATACTCTTAACACCCTCGGACTCTGCGTTGTGTTTCGTATGTGTGATGGGGTGTTATGCAGAGGGGAGGAAAACAGGACACAGCAGATTGGGATTGTGGTGGAGATGCTGAGCAGTTATTTAATTGTTGCATGTAATTATTATTATACTGCGTGCTTCTGAGTTATTCCATCTTTTGCTGTAACATGGATCTGTATGTAACTCTATATTTACTTGTTATCTAACACACTTCCTTCTACATCATCATTATACATGATGGTGTATATAGGATATATATATTTGTATACATATCTGTAAATTGTATAATTTTATTTAAACGTCTTTTTGATCTCTCAAACTGAGTAAGATTGACAATAAAGTTGACTTTGAAAAATATATATATTCTTTATGAAAATAGTTGACTGTTGGAGAAATGAATCCAAATGAATCCAAATGAAACGTTGGACTGAACTACAACTACGCCTTTAAATCTCTACGGACTGTTTTTCAGTGGGATGGCAAGTTCCTATCTTTAAACATTTATTAGTTTTTTCTCAGAACAGATTTGATTTTCTGAAGTTAATTTAACTTTGCCGACCATGTAAGGTCATTATTAAAAGGTACAATCAATTTGTTTAGGGTTGACTAAAATAATGAAAAACATTCATTTGGATAATTTACTGACAGAATAAGAAACTCAATGATGCTCTACTCACCTGTTCCCTTTTTATAAAGTGAAACAGTTGAAACGATAGGTTTTAGTAAACTTAAAAACAACCTTCTCCAAAAGCTATCAAGGAATATACCGAATACTTGTTTTAGAACTTTATTACATATTTTTATATAAATAGTTTGAATGATCCATAATTGACAGAAGCTTGTGTTTACACTGACCTGTTACTCATATATTAATGTCTTTGTAACTTCAGTAAACCACTACCTCACTCATTTCTTTCATTCATCACGGTTCAGTAAACTAAGTGATACATGAACCAGTTTAATCATTATAATAACGTAGGATTGCAACTCTTTGAAAATGTAGGTGGCTCTTAAAAGAGCCATTGTGTTTGGGTGTGCTGGTCTCAGGTCAGTCTAAGCCCTCTCTCCGCGGATGCGGCGGGCCAGCTGGATGTCCTTGGGCATGATGGTGACCCTCTTTGCTTGGTTCATCTTACTGGGGGGCAGCTACATGGATGTCGGTACAGTCCACAATCATTGCGCAGTTGAAGGCAGAATGAATTTATTATTGACTCCGAATGAAGCACAACTTCATGTCATACAATACAATGACTTTATTTGTAATTGTGTAAAAAAATATGAGCATTGATTAGCAAGCAGGACCTGCAGGAACAGAGAATGGTGATGGATGGAGCTGGGAAGAGAGAAGAATAAAGAAAACAGATCAACTTTATTATCGGATATTAAAAATTCAATTTCAAAACAAGTTGCCGCTCCTACAGTTTTCTAGTATGTAAAGATGATTTCACATGACCTATGCAAAATATCACACTCAATACATGTGTGTCTCTGGGGGGTGCATTGTGCCTTTGATGTATATAAATAATATACCATAACCAAATACTATTACGTACAGTGGAAATCAGGTTGCCAGAGCAGGTCAGTGTGCATGTTCCTCAACGTCTCAGCAGTTACAGGTGAGGTAAAGAAAATAAAAGAGAAAAAGGTCAGTAACAACACTTTAAAGTAACAACACTTTGAATAATTATCTCTTCTAAACAATTTTCTCTCAATAAGCACACAACGACTGTCTTTCCAACAAACAGATTGTCATCACAATGAAACACGTCCAGAAGAATGTCATGCAAAGCTCCATGCCTGCCTTCGACTCTCCCTGAACTGCTTCCTTAGCACCCGGTGGAGGGCGCAGTAGGCTACTCTTCAAATGTTTCACGAAATACTTACCATCATGTTTGGTTACTGTTTAACATTTTGGTTTACTTCATGTAATAAAATAATAACTTCATGGTAAGGCTACTAAAAATGACAAGGCTAAGTAATGTAATGCTAACTAACGTGCTCGCTACTCGTCGCTACTAGCTAGGTAGCTAACTTGACTATGCACATGAACATGCACAACATGTATATTACCTATGATATTACCTGATATGTCTGATCCAGCGACTCCTGGTCCTTTCATCAGACGGGAAGCGATAGAAGGAGCAAGTGGTATGATCACTTTTATGACTACAACCTGGTACAAAGCACACAGGCATCTTGTAAAAGTGAATTTATTTTTAGCGATCTATAATTTATTGGAGGGAATAAATCAGTTATGAGATCTTCTTCTTCTTCGCTTTAATTACGAGTCTTATTATAAATCACCGAGCATGCCTGTGACATCACTTACGCGACCCAGAATGGGATTTGGGATTTGTAGTCTTTGTAGTAGCGTATTTTTCATAGTCTTATATTTCAGCAGTTTTACGACAAAATGTGACTTTTTTGACATGGAAATGATTGTTTAAGATTG